CCCTCCCGCGGGGCCGCCGGCAGGTGCGCTGGGCCGGCGCCTTCGCGCCGGGGCACGCGGCGCACCCACCTAGCCAGCCTCCCTTGGCACAATTGCTGTGGAGCCCGGCCTCGGCAGGTGCTAAGGAGCCAGGGGGAAATCTGTAAGGTGGTGGCCAGCGTCTCCAAACGGTGCTCCCCCCACTTCCCACCTCCCCGTGCCCTTGCCCGCAGGTTGAGGCTTTGGAGGATGCAGCCCGGTGAGCAAATTGCTTGCGAGAGGAGGGGCGGGGGGCGGGGATGTCCTGGCATGCTGAATGGGGAACACTTAGGAAGGGCCTCCCTTGGGAGTCTGGGTCCTCCAGGAACCTGGGACGCACCCCTCTCCAATCCCTTCTAACCTAGACGTGCCCCCCCCCCGAATAGTGGTGAACAAAACTTGGCGTTATTTTGCAACCGAAAAAAAAAAGGGCACTTTAGGGCCTCCGGTAACCAGGAGTTTACCGTACAACTGACTCATCTGCTGTTTTTGAGGAGCAAGGTGAAATACATTTAAGAATCTGTCGTATGAAGGAAGTTAGGGGGTTGGCTTGTAAATATTTGGGGGAGGATGTGTAGAGAGTGTGAAGAAATACTGATCTGTCACATGCGCGCACACCCCTCTGTTTCTCTCTTCCCCATCCCCACATCTCTTTATAACCAATACAAAGTATATTGCAGTTGGTGGCCGGTCAGGGCATTCCATTGCGGTTGCTGGTGCAATGGTAAGGCAGGGAGCCTGCAATGTGTCTTTCTGTGGACCACTGGGACCACCTGGCCAGAGGCTGCTCCTGCAGCAGTCTGCGGCATCTTGCATCCTTGGCAAGCCCATGCTGCACCGCATTTTGCTGCCCCCCAAGGCTTTCCCTGTATGGGGTAGGTTTAGCTTGGTTTCCTCCTCTAAAGAAACTGCGATTATATCGACAAGGTAACTACACATTACTCGTTTGTACATTTTCTTAAAACTGCTAGGGTGGACACTTATTTGGGAAGATATTTAAAAGAGTAAAGAAATTGTGTCACAAAAAAGTAATTTTTACATGAATAACAATGAGTACAAGGAAGAAGAAAATGTTCTAGAATTGAATATGGTGACAATTGTACAAGTCTTCTTGATGTGATTGAATTGTATGACATGTGGATGAAGTGCTAATAAAACTGTTAAAAATTTTTAAGTAATTTTTTAAATTCTGGAAAGCAGTTAAAAAAAACTAGTGAGAATGTTTAAGTTTGATCATTTGCTCATAGGATCTCAAAGGTGATGTTGTTTCCCGATTATACAAAATGCCCAGCTCTTCCTAAAAGCCTACCCATCTCTGCTCTTGAGAGGGGTCACATATTACCATGTGAAAGCCTAACGGAACCTCACACAGGCATTGTCTCTTCCATGCCAGTTCCATAAGCATGAAGATGGTCAGATAAGTTTTCTTATTTGCAGTTTGATTTTCTAAGACTAAATAAACCCTGAAATTGTTGACATGTCGAATCCCATTGGGTTGGTTTGGCTTGGAGATGGAAACTTGCTTGCAGATGCTGCAAAGCGCAGCTTCATGGGTGCCTAGCACTCATAGGGGCTGGCAGGTAGCACTGCGTCATGTGCACATTGTTCACAGGCTTTCTGCTACTCAGCCCACTGCAGGAAGAGGCGATCTTCCTGTCGATTGTGCAGTAAAGACCGAAGAGAATCCTGAGCGCCTGCAATGTGGAACACAGCAGGCAATGACGATCCTTTTCCTCCTTGCCTCACAATGGTGGAGTGTTTAAAGTAACAACTGCAAACCGGCATTATCCATTTGCAAACCTCAGTGAGAATGACTATGAATTTGGGGAGGTCATCTTTACTTTGTGCTTCTCATTGATTAAAACTTGGGAATGAGCTCAAAGGGCTCAAATATCCTTGAACAGAACTGTGTCTTAAAACCACACATAGAGCATAGTTACCAGTTTGCCCCAGGCTCAGGCATTTTTAACAACAAAAAGCAACTAAATAGCAATTAGAGTTATCAAAGCTATTGCTTTTCATACCATTGTTATCATCCTGAGTCTGCTGCAGCTATTTATCAGTTCCAGATACACAAGAACATCATTTATCTCTGCACAGCAGACAAATGCTTAACTGCGCGAGAATAAGTTTTTTTAGGTGCATTCATTTCCATGATCTCAGGGACAGTAATAATAAGCAAGACAAATCATTCAAAGAATTGAATATTTGGGATACATTTTTATTTTCTGATTTGTTTTTTGCTACTTTATTATTTCCTTCACCAAATAATGTCATCTTAATTGCTTCTTTCTGTGTGTGTTGATGTGGTGCCTAATGCGTTGTGGAATTCAATACATATTAAATTAGCCAATCAATCCTTTTTAGAAGTTTATTTATAAGAAGCCATGGATTTAATTCTTTCTAGGTTTTGATTAAAAAAATAATTGCCATAGTATAAAAGTCAAACTTTTTTTTTTTTTTTCAAATTTGGTGATAAGGATAGGGGAGAAAGGTCCCATGGCCAAAATGTTTCAAACCAAGAACTGCAAAGATAGTTAACTTCCAGAACATCAAAATGTAAAATATATATTGTGCAGTTTTTTCCAGCTTTTTAAAAAAACATTTTATGGGGGCTCATACAACTCATCACAATCCATACTTCTATCCATTGTGTGTCAAGCACATTTGCACATCTGTCACCCTCATCATTCCCAAAACATTTGCTTTCCACTTGAGCCCCTGTTATCACCTCCTCATTTTTACCCTCCCTGCCCGCTACCCCCTCTCACGAACCCTTGATAATTTATAAATTATTATTATTTTGTCATATCTTACACCGTCCGACATCTCCCCTCACCCACCCCTCTGCCATCCATCCCCCAGGGAGGCGGTTACATGTAGACCCTTGTAATCGGTTCCCCCCTTCTACCCCACCCTCCCTCCACCCTCATTTTGCAGCTTTTTTATGACAGTAAATTATCCTTATCATCTAAGGCACCAGTTCTCAACCTGTGGGTCGCAACCCCTTTGGGGATCAAACAACCCTTTCACAGGGGTTGCCCGATTCATAACAGTAGCAAAATTACAGTTATGAAATAGCAACAAAAATAATTTTATGGTTGGGGGGTCACCACATCATGAGGAACTGTATAAAAGGGTTATGGCATTAGGAAGGTTGAGAACCACTGATCTAAGGGAATACAAATGATTGAGGGAAAATAGCTAAAAGAGTATTAGATATGTTGAATGTGAGCTGTCACTCAGCCCTTCTTTCCTGTGAATTCTTAACCAAATTGAGAACAGACCCAAGAGAAATTAAAATAATTAACTTTATTCGGGGTAAAGCTAGATGGGAGAACAGAACTTAGACACAAGGTCAAAATGGATAGCTTACTCTTTTCCTGTAACTCAGCATTCCCACCTGGTCACAGCTGAAGGACTGCCTCCACACACTGGAGCAGAAAATAACTTTGATCCCACCCCAAACTGAAGATGACTCAGGTTTGGGGCAAGGGTTGGGGAACAGTTTTGAGGGGAAGAAGAAACCCCTGAATTCTAGACCCACTAAGAGAGAGGAGAGACCAGTCCCTCGAGAAGACATTGTGTTTGGTCAAGTAGAATGGCAGTTAAAAAGGAAGGCTCTCAGAGAGAGAGACTGACACCGTGGCTGCAACAATGGGCTCGAGCATGGGAATAACTGAGGATGGCGCAGGACTGGACAGCGTTTCATTCTGTTGTGCAGAGATGGGGCTGCTATGGTTTGGACCGACGCTATGGCACCTCACAACAAGGAGGCAGAGGTGGAACTCTGGTGGCATTGTGGGTTACACAGTGAACTGCCAGTCTCAAGGTGAAAACTCACCAGCCCCTCTGCAGGAGAAAACGTATTTCTCTAGTAAAGATTTAAAGTCTCCAAAGGGCAGTTCTGCTCAAACCCAGAGGGTCGCTGTGGATAAGAATTGGCTCGATGGTGGGGAGTTTGGTTTTTAGAAGGCGGAGGTATCAGAATGACAGGTGAAAACACCCAGCAAGCCTTTGGAAATGAAAGGTGAGAAGTCAGAAACAAAGACAACCATGGGAGTCACCCACATAGATTATACATGAAGTTATGAAAATGTTTAAAATGCCTAAGGAATATTGAGTATAGAAAGAATTGGGATCAGAACTTTGAAAGCCCTGCCTATCAGTGGACTAGTGAAGGTGAACGGAAGTCAGGATGTGGGAAGCTAAGAGTGGGAGTGTTCTAATTTATTGGCTTCCTAGAACAGGTGTACAATTGGAAGGTTAGCAAGACGAAAACTGTGTGTAGGAGAGCTGCGTCCTTACAGTGTGAGAGTCTGAAGCCAGACACCAAAGGTTGGACAGAAGTAGGAGAGGATAAGGAGAACCCCTATCCACAATCTGAACCCTAGATGTGGAATCCAAGCCCTAATAAAGGTCAATCTTGTAAGACAGGGCTACTTGAACAAGTTTCTGGGGATCCTGAGAGACAGAGTCAGTGGCAGGAAAGTATGAGTTGAAGAAAAGATAAAAGACATTCATTCCTTTGAGGGTTTTTGGTTCAACCATGTGTTTCCGCTTACCTGGCGTCCTCCAAGTCTGGTTCATTCTGTTTTCAGACTGCTTTGGACTGCAGAGTTCAAACTGACCTGGATTAGTGATGAAAGCTCCCTTTCGGTGGTCTCTTCCCACTCGCCCTGGCAACAAGGACTCAGACTATATTGTTGGTGTTACCAAGTAATTCTCCACTCCTGGGAACCCCACGTGGCTGAAGAGGACTGCCCCATAGAGATTTCACGGCCACAGTCTCTGTGGAAGCCATGGAGTTTCTGGACGGGTTCAAGCCACTTCCCTTTTGATTAGCAGCCAGGTACTTAGCATTTGTACCAGTTGGCTTCCTTACAATGAAAAGGCTGTTATGTATATTTGAGTCCATTCAAATTCTAACTCACGCTAACCCTACATGACAGGGAAGACCTTCCCGAAGCAGTTATGGGGGCTGTACTCTTTACAGGAAGACATAGATACCTTATATACTCATGTATAAGCCGAGTTTTTCAACACATTTTAATGCCTTTTTTTTAACTTTTTACTTTTAATTATTTTATTGAGGGCTTGTACAATCCTTATCACAATCCATACATGCATCCATTCTGTCAAGCACATATGTACATTTGTTGCCCTCATCATTCTCCAAACATTTGCCTTCTACTTTAGCCCTTAATATCAGTTGCTCAT